AACACACTCCATCTGTTTCTATCAGAGGATGGAATAGAGACAGATGTTTCGGGCTACATTTCTCATTGAGTAAAAACACACTCCATCTGTTTCTATCAGAGGATGGAATAGAGACAGATGTTTCGGGCTACATTTCTCATTGAATAAAAACACACTCCATCTGTTTCTATCAGAGGATGGAATAGGGACAGATGTTTCGGGCTACATTTCTCATTGAGTAGAAACACACTCCATCTGTTTCTATCAGAGGATGGAATAGGGACAGATGTTTCGGGCTACATTTCTCATTGAGTAAAAACACACTCCATCTGTTTCTTAAGATTTTCTACCATAAAAGATTTACATCACCTAATTTTACTATTGGGCATTAAGAATGAAAAAATTCAAAGGGAAGTTAAGAATAAATTTGTTTGATTGAAGATATTATAAAACATAAAAGGAAATACTGAATGTGCAAATCAAGACCAAAGAAATGTATCAATAAGTTTTATAACTCCATTACGTCTAACTTGTAGTATAATTTCACAGATTATCAAATTTGAGGTTCACCATAATAAACACGTAAAAAATAAAACGACGGGTCCACTTATAATAAGTAAAAAATATATCACATGATAACGTGCAAACAGTAGGTAAAATGTCGATACAATTAGAGTAAATGTAGCTATGTATCAGGACTAATTCCTTTATCAAGCAAAAAGATATCGCAGCCAAACAGGAGGTGCTTTTGCTCTAGGAAATAGTTTGCATCCCTAATTGTATCAAAAACTTTCTAGGGAGAGAACCCTCCCATTGTACCCCCAATTTCTATTTTTCAAACACTTTCTAGGGGTAGAACCATTTCAGACGCACCATGGGAGGTTGTCCGTCTATGTGCTTCAACAGAGCTACCGCATTTAGAATTCCAATCTTGACAGTTGTCATCCCATGAAATCAGTCTGCCCTTTATTTGTACCCCAAGTCTCAGGATTGTCACCACCAAATTTGAAACAAAATGTATTAGCTCACACACAAGAAGATTTTAGTAGCAATTTTACCATCATAGACAGAAGAAAAACATTAAATTTTATAACTGTGGGTCTTCAATTTAAATTAAATTAAGTTTTTATGCAATATGTCTGAGCTCGATAAATTGTTATATTGTTCTAGTATACGGCAAGTCATTAACACAAAATAAAGAATAGAACACAGGGCTATTAAACTATACTTTATGAATCAGATAAGATAATAAAAGACAAGCTAGAATATAACAGAGAACAATAACTTGTAAAAGTCAATGTTGTTTTGACTTGTGTAATTATTGTGTGAAGATATAATATCATTGCCAGACCAATCATCACTTTCTCTACCACAATATTCATTGGAAAATAGCCTGTC